GTTTCCCCCCAGAGTTGATCTGGAATAGGGGGATTGACAACTTCAGGAAGCCGACTGGGTGCCGCATGGATCTCTTTGTATTTTTCTAAGTGCTCATGTTAATGTAATGCATGTTAGGGAGAACTATCTAAATGGCTGATCAAATGCATACCTTCAATGAATAGCATTTCCTAGAACGAGCTGTAATTTACTTAAGGAGGACAAAGAGTCTGTTTAAAGGAAACAATGGAAATAATCCAGGTGACAAAATCAGGAATGACTGAATCGATTTAATCTGCACAGTACTTGGGTGTGGTCACGTGGGTCCTCTCAGCTACCTGCAAACCTGACACCTTGTACTTCCTCAAAGCACTTAAAGCTGTAACGAAATACTTTAGGGAGCAACCTTGTGTGTAACATCCTCCCCTGTAAATTATGGTGGCCTTGCCTGTGTCTTCATTGTCTGGGCTATAGTCTTTAAAGTCATTGATCAAAACATTCAGTAATAATAAGCAAAGGTGGGTTTTTGGTGGTGGGTTTGTGGGGTTGTTTGTTTGTTTGTTTTGAATTAAGCACACTGCAGATTTTCTGTTGCTTTTCTGCAACAATCCAGATCGCTCTCATCACCAGATTAATCACTGCTCCCTGCTGAGCCATGTTTTATCTCTGAAAATTGGCACTCTGTCGATTCTGTAGGGCACTTATTCCAAACTCAAGGGCCAGAGAGAAGCCACCTCTTCGCACCATGCCAGCACCAGAAAGTCAGTTCTGACTCCTGGTGACCCCATGTGTGTGACAACAGACCCGTGCCTGATGGAATTTTCAGTAACTGGTTTTATTGGAAATAACTGGCCAGACTTTCTTGTGAGGTGCTTCTGTATGGATCCGAACCTTCAGCCTTTTGGTTAACCATCCGTACTACCAATGGGCTCTGCCAGCAGAGCAGAGGCTCTTAATAAGAGCCTCTTAATAAGGGCTCTTAATAGTGGAAGGAACCTTCTGGGTGGGGAGACCTGTGATGGAGCCGTGGGGTCTTAGGGTGATCAACACCCCAGCGCTCCCCTCAAAAGCCTTAGAGCCTAGTTGGTGACACAGACTTTCTACTTGGGCCTGAATGCTGGCTGGTGCTGAGAACTGGACAAGAACCCTTCTCCTTATGCAACACTTAACAATCTACAAAGAATATCTACCTTTATTTTCTCCTCCTGTTAGGGAGCTCTGGTGGCCTAGTGCTAAGATGCTGCGCTGCAGTCCCAAAGGCATGCAGTTCAAATCCACCAGCTGCTCTATGACAGAAAGATGGGCAGTCTTCTCCCATTTTATTCCCTCTGAAAACCTGCTGGAGGGTCAGCGATGAGTTGGTTCCGACTTAACAGTACATAACAACAACAGCCTTTAAAAACAAAACAAACACACAAAAAACCCCCAGAAGTAGTGCTGAACTTGAACATTCACATTTGTTTCTATTTGCATAAAGAAATTGTGAAACATAAAATGGGAATGAGAGTAACGGGAACATCTGGTCTTTATTGAGCACCTACTAAGTGCTGTGGTTGTTGTGAGTTGCTGTGGAGGCAGCCCCAGCATGTGCAGAACAGAAGTCTCCACTGTGTTTTCAAGGCTGCGGACTTGAGAAGCAGGTCTCCAGGCCTGTATCCCCAGGTGCTGCTGGCCAATAGTCAGGCATTTAACCTTTCATGTCTCCTCTCAGGGACTCTCTGTACCTTCAGAAACTCACTGCCATTGGGTCCATTCCAGCTCACAGTAACACACCATTGGGTTTCTGAAGCTGAAAGTCTTAATGGGAGAACACAATCCTTTCTCCCTCCGAGCTGCTGCTGGATTTGAACCACCAGAGACACTCATCCTTTTGGTTGTAAGTGCAGCGTACTACAGATTAGCTGCCTCATTTTATCCTCACTTGATCCCTGGGGGATAAGTGCTGCTGTGCCACTCAGTAGATGAGGAGACGGAGATTCAGAGAGGTTAATAAGACCAGCTCATCT